TGAAATTCTTTTTTGGGGGGGAATTTACACAACAAACCTTATGAATAAACAATTCATTTTCCCAGGTAGATTAGTTATCATTAATTATAAATTTTGTGCTGGGGAAATGAATAAACATAGGCATATCATGCTCAGAAAGGCTGCGACTGTGGACTGTGGTAAATTCATCCTTATTTGCCAAGTATGTTCAACATACAAGGGATCTGACTCTGGTACAGTGGCTCTCAATGTGCTTTTGTCTTGTTCCTTCACTGTTTAACTATTCCTTTAAATAACTGTGAATGACTCCACTTGTTTCTCTGGCCTGTAAACCACACAGTGTCAACTATTATCTTTTGATTGACTCCACATATTTTCATATAACTTCGCCACAGGTCTCTTTTTCAGATCAAACGTCATATTTAATAGGCCAAAACCTTCAAAGCACGTCATATCCTGCCGAGATGATGAAATGATTATGCAGCACCATGAAAGTGACATTTGGCACATGGACTACATTTGTCTTTATCACCGCACTGTTCCTGTACTTTTCTTTGATAAAACATGAAAACGTCCTTTACTCAGATTTCAGCAGTGACAAGTGTTTTAGCGTCAGTGTTCTTATATTAGTGAAGTTATTGTGAGTTTATTAAGAAATGAGGATGCCAGGCAACAAAAATAGTGTTTGTTGACTAAAATCTGTTTCATGATAAAAACTTACAGACTTTTCCTTCTATATTTTAGTAGATTACATTAGTAGGGTAAACGGCATGTCAGCTGACTTAATATAACATCACCACAAAGGTTTCTTCAGACCTTTTCTTTTATATGTGCTCCCCAAACCCTCTCCATCTTCTCTGGATCTTCCTCTCGCTCTCTCTCCCCTCTTTCGTCTTTGGGAGTATGGGTGCATGTCAAGTGATTGTTGAATTGAAATATTGATGTGGAGTATCAAAGCTTGGTGTAGCACTCCTGTGTTTCCAGAACTAACCACGAAGTGCTTTGATCAGATACTCCTGTGATCTGACTTCTGAAGTTGTTAAGAGTGCCGGAAAACAAAATGCAAACAAACTTCAAGCGCTCTTGGTATTGATAAAAGTTTTCTTTGACAAGTAGAGAAGCATGCTGTCTGCCTGTGTCTGCCCAAGACTGGAGGGTTTGGGGTTTTCATATATGCTAATGGACAAGAGATGAGGGAATGATTATACTTTTGTGTTTCTCACACACCTAGATCTGTAAACTGGGGTAAGGCAGTAGGAATCCTGCTGTAGCAATGCAAAAATATTGCAATTCTGATGATTTATGCTTTAAATTTCATTTGATTCCATATGATAGAATTTACAATTGTATTTCATTTGCAAACTCTAAATGAAGACACGTCAGTGTCTAAGTGAAATGTCTTTAAGCAGTGGAAGGTATGACGTTTTTAAGTAAGAATAAATGTGTATGTTTTGAAGATAGATGTACTTTTCACACCAAATTACATCTTTAAGTGACTGAATAATTTAATGGGGGGTGAATTATACCTCCAGAATTTAACCGTCATTGCATTATACCATTGTCATCAGAAACAGAATGAGAAGAAAAACTAGTTTTTCATCAGTTTTTAGGAACTTCTAAACTTTTTGAAGAATAATGTCAGGAAGAGCAGACTTGACTATAAAGTTAGATGAGAAATGAGTTTTGAAGATGAGCAGTCCCTCTTCCTGACTGGGTAAACTGGAAAGAACCTACATAAATGGACTTATCAATTTCCTCAGTGGTGGAGGAGGACAGAGATAAAGTGACAAAACTGATGAAATAATAATCTGTCACTGAAGTAGAAAGATGGTGCCTTGATTGAAGAAAAGTTTATAATTTGTCCAGAGGGCCACTGATGTTTCCCTGAGTCTACGCAGGTAAACCTCAAAAATATGCTTGAGTGTAAACATTGATATCTGTTCAATACCTCTGTCAGTAACAAAGCTCCTGCTCAAACATTCACACACACACAGCAGGGAACAGGAAAGTTACTCCTCACCAAGGTATCAAATTGTTGCACTGTAAAGTCCAGCTGTTGCTATTGCTCCCATCGCAATGAAACCGCATGTCATGGTAATTACGCTCCATCTTGTCCTGTCTTGGATTGCTGAATGGTTAAAGAGTGAAGCACTACAGTTAGCAGCAGGCTTTTACATGCTGTCTGTCACATCCATTAGACCACATTTGTCACATGAGGGCTATTGAGTCAGCACAGTGCTGTAAAATTGGCTTTTTGACATGGCCACCGGTACAAAGGCTGCTCTTCTCCATGACTACCCTTTTTGAGTGCAGATGGTCAAGACAGCTGGGACAATTTAGTGATCTGAGGCTTTTAAACTGCCCCCCAGGCATGATAAAAGCAGCTTGAAGAGCCACTTGCATATTCTATGTTTTGGGCTTAAGAGCAAGATTATGTTTGCAGCAAAAACAAAACCATTTGTTTTCTACAATGGGCCAAAGGACCTAAACCTCTTCCAGGACATGGAATTTTTCAGAATATCTAACTATCATATAAAAACTGCTGTTTTAAAATGTATTTTCTGTCTTTTTCTCTTTAAAATGTGTGCATGACAACATCTATATCACTTTTTTGGGATTTCAGCTTGTGTCAGTCTTGAAGTTGCCGGTAGCCACCCAGTCAGAGGAGCCTGTGGCGCAGGACGGAGCAGGCCTGATTACCAGTGATCTCACCAGCTGTTTAATGAACACAGGGACCTCTTTCTCTGGAAACGAGTTTTCCCTTGAAAACCGTAGAAGCCGTATCCAGGTCTATTTAAATGAGGTAACATGGGGAAGGTAAGCACCACCACATGAGCATTGTTTTCACAGTTCAAAGTGAGGAGAGAGTACTTTGCACTTCAAAGCCGCTCATCTGGGAGGCAGTACAGTGGGGGTGGGGTGGTGTGGGGGAGAGGGGACAGGAAATAAGAATCAGGGTAATTAACAACTTCTGCCTCGTAATAAACCAGAGACACAGTTTACCTCTGCCTCCGAGATACACTCCTATTTTCATGTCCTCCTTGCGTTTGGCTTTTACAGCTGTTTTCTTTTATCCCACACGTTCACTTTAATTCGGAATTAGTTTTTTCTCAATGCTGTAAGAGCTATATGGAATTGATTAAGATGTATGGGGGATTTGTATCATAAACATTCTGTGCATTTTATTTATTTATTTTTTAACTGCAGATGTTTGTCCTTTCTAAATAATAAAAAATGTCAAGCTAATGGTACTTTGAACAACTAGAAGTCATTAAAATGCTTTCTCAAACATGCATGTGCTAAAACGTCCTACATATTTTTATAAAGAAATCATGTCATCATTATTTTTGTTTGTTCTGAGAAAAAAACTAAACACATTTTCTCAGATTTGCCCAGATTTGTCTGCACCTAAAACAAACATAACCTGGTGATTTATTAGCAGGCTGTAGCTGAAGTCTGCACATGTGAGTCTAACGAAATCTTTGTTTCCAGCTGAGGTGTCTGCTCATTTTGCACCATTATCTTCAAAAGGGCCTTAGCTAAAGATTATTGATTATTGTCACCCTCTTCATTTATTTTTTAAGATGTTAATTCTAACAACTATGACCCATGTGGAATTTGAGAAGCTTTCTTTTCAAATTCACTTATATTGTATACATGTATACATTTTTTCTTCAAATGTTTCTAATTTTAGTTGGTGTCTCCTTGAGGTATGTTTATTTAAGAATCACAGCCTGTGAAACAGGGAGCAGTAGGTGAGTGAGGACCCAGACATTTACATGAGAAACAGGTTCCCAGCCTGGTCTTAAACTCTTAACATTGTAATGGTGAACAGACTTACAGAATGAGATTAAGCCTAAATCTGCATTTAATGGAGCTGATCTGAAGCGGCCTCTACTTGAACTCTGAAATGTGAGAATGTCACACAGGGAAACCTATTTGACATGTCACCTACTGGTGGGAACTCTGAGGCTTTGATTGAGTTTTATCAGTTTGCTTTGTGAGGGAAAATACTGCTGTTTTCAGAGTGTGTGAGCCCCGAGCCTGCCAGGCCGGGGAGCTGCCTGCTGGTGCACTAACACAAAAGGCTTAAGTGTGGAGTGCATGTGTGATCTGAAGAAAACTAATGATAAAACTGTGGATTAAATAAGACCCAACATATTGTCTTTGTATTTATTCATCTCATTATAAGAAAAAAGGTCATCCATCAGGTGATATGTTTTTAAGAGTGCATGGTTTACATCATTTAAGCAGACATGCACGTTAACTACAGCTTCCCATTGTGAAATCAAACTGAATCAGTGTGTCACCAGGTATTTCATAAAAAAAAAACTACCCTTAATGTACTCACCCTTCTGTTATAACATTTTAATATTCATCAGATTTTGTTGCAACAACAACAACAATGAAAAATTACACCTTTGTGCTTAAGTATGAATCCATTTGTTTTTTTTCCAGCCATGGTTGTTGTTTGTGTTGATATTTGTTGACTGCAGACTTTTTAACACAGCATCACTGACTGCTGCCACAAATAAAAATCTTTTTATATACTACCTTTGACTGAATTCCCACAGCAGAGTTGAAACAGTATGCAAATACTCCCAGAGTGAAAAATATTTGACTTAGCTGGATTTACTAATCTTAGATCTTTTAGCAGACTAAGCATTTTGTTCTTGTATAATCTGTGGTCCTAAATGTAGATACTGAAAGTTGCTGAAACACTCAATTAGTGTTTTTTAAATCATGTAGGATAATAGTTGTGCGGTTTTTCTGAACATTTAAAAAGGGGGCACATAACACAGGATGTCCAGTTCAAATACATATGATGCTCTGACAAATAGATATTACAGAAGAGTCTGTATCATATTTCAAGTCTTTTTTTAGAACAATTGTGGGAGGAGTCAATTCTTGAGGTTAGCATTTGGTTGAAATTGAGTGAAATTATGAGTAGCCCACCCCTTCACCTAACAATGCCTCCTCCTCCCTCCGCCACATCTCTCTATTGACTGGCTCTCCTGCATCATACTGGAGACCCCGTTGAGAGGATCTCTTCTCTCTATAAAGACAAGATGCAGCTCAGGCGTGTGTGAGATGATCGCAAGGATTTATTGCGCGCCTATCTGCCTCTAACTTCAGACTGGCACCAAATGATCTGGGCTGCTAACCTACTAAAACTATTCACCGAGTGGGCCGAGGGACATCTGATTGACGCAAGGATTTCCAGCGCACTGTGATAAAGAGTAGGACACCCGAATGTGAGCATCTTTTCCTACCGAGCTGCCAGCTGTAGTTTAGACTTTGTGCGCGTCGCCTCTCGGCGCAGTTTGTGTTGCAGGTGCGGGGAGAGGGAGCGCAAGAACAGATGGCTGCGCTGACGCTACAAAGGACCGACAACTTTTTGCACACCTTTTTGCAGGTTTGTTTTATGAGGAACTTTTTGATATAGCGCACGTGAATTTATCACTTGGTGTTGTGGTAGTGAAAGCGCACGTTTCTACAATGTGTGCATAATGAATGGACAGACTTAAAGCACGCCTTAGTATAAAGCTAATTATGCCTGCTGCAGTGGTAACAGTCATTTGGTAATTAGAATAGCTGATAAAGAGAACACAGAAAAACTAAACAAAACTTAAACTAAAATGACCAGAAAAGCAGATATTAATGATTAACATTGAGTTGGATTACATATAGAAGCGAATTCTAAATGTTTAATGATAGTTCATTTAAAAATGTCTGTTTAAATTTAAGGATGCCTTAACACTTGTTCTAATGGTGGTCCATCTAATCTAATGAGTGTCTGTGTGTCACCAGGATCGGACACCCAGCTCCTCTCCAGAGGGAGCACCTAACACGCTCTCCTTCCTGGCCACCACCTGTAGCCAGGCCTGGCAGGTGGGAGGCACTATGGGCTCTGAAGGTTCCCAGTTTCCCTATGAGGGCACCGTCAGCTCCACATCAGGAATGTTTCAGCTCTGGAGCAATGATATAACACCCAGCACACATCAGATGACCTTCACAGTGCCAAAGGTTCAGTTCACTGGACACATGCAGTCTGGCCTGGGTCACCATCATCATCACTCCCATCACCACCACCATGAGCTGCCTCTCACTCCTCCAGCTGAACCTCCCTCATCCTACTCCTTCGAACTGTCCCCTGTTAAAGTGCTGTCTTCACAGCCACAGGCCAGCGGCCCCTATTATTCTCAGCACAACAGTGTGGGCCAAAACTTCTCCAACTTTCTCCAGAACTCCTCATCCAGGCATCACCTGCCTGGAGGCCATGTGGAGGAAGGTCAGCAGTGGTGGAGCCTACCCCAAACCAGTGCCACCCCTTCCAACCATCCCTTCTCCCTGGGCAGACAACTGGTTTTGGGCCACCAGCCTCAGATAGCTGCTCTTCTCCAGGGTACCTCTAAAGGCTTGCTGAGTTCCACACGCCGCTGCAGACGCTGCAAATGCCCGAACTGCCAGGCAAATGGAGGGGGATTAGAGTTTGGAAAGAAGAGATTGCATATCTGCCACATCCCGGAGTGCGGCAAAGTATACAAGAAGACCTCTCACCTGAAGGCACATCTGCGCTGGCATGCCGGGGAGAGGCCCTTCATCTGTAACTGGCTCTTCTGTGGTAAAAGCTTCACCCGCTCAGACGAGCTGCAGCGACACCTCCGCACACACACTGGGGAGAAACGCTTTGGGTGCCAGCAATGTGGTAAGAGGTTCATGAGGAGCGACCACCTCTCCAAACATGTCAAGACCCATCAAACCAGGAAGGCCCGGTCTGGGCAGCCTTCTCAGAGCACGGACCCTCTGCTCAACAATATCAAAAGAGAGTAATCGTTGTGGTCCATCATTTAAAAATAATTATCAACAGTGAACAGACTGTGACTTAGGCTTACTGCCATAGGTTTGCACTAGAGGGTAAGCATCAAGCTCCCCGAACATCTTCTCCTGTCAAAGTCTTACTTTTGACATCAACAAGTACCATAAAAATATATTTACAGACCATTTTTAATAAAATTATTTGTGTGCTGTTTGAGGCACCTTTAAAGAAAACTTGAATCTTTTTCCAGTAATATTGTGAGTTTTGTTGCATTCAAGATGCCACGAACTGATTTCATTTGGAGCAAAACTCATAGCAATTTGTCTGAATTTCAGCTAATATAAAAATTGACATTTTTTAAAGCTGAATTGTGTAAATAATTTACCATGATAATAATGGAGTGGATATGAGTAAGATTTAACAGGGTTTACCCTAATATGTTGTCCATTTATAAAATAAACGTATATGTCTTACTGCAGCTAAAGGTCGCCAAATAAAAATGATAATTTCTGCTCACAGTCAGTTTCAGAATAGAAAAATCCCTGTGCTCCTGTTGGTAATTAGGTTTATATTCTAAAACATATCCTAATTTGTCTGCTTCAAGGCATAAATCCTATTTTAAATGTAAACAAAAGAGTCTCTGATCTACAGATTTATCTTGTCTGCTCTTAAGCCAGAATGCGACCTAAGTAAGCAGACAATTTAAAAATGTAGTTCTTTGTAAATTATATATAAATATCATGAACAATTTTATTGAGGTTAGGGCCGCATGCAAATTTGAATAAACATTGTCCTTGCTGAAACAATTTCGCTGGTTTTAATAATGTTGTTTTCTTGTATCTTTTATGACTGTCTCTTTGTGACTGATTGTGAAGTAAATATCTATGACTAACAGTGAGAGTCAGTGGTTTTAACCTTCACCGGCTCATCCAATAAATGTGTGAATTACTGAGAATTCCCTGGAGCACCTAAAGAGCTAACATTTTATTTAAATGATGATTTGACAGCATTGAGAATACAAATGCTGCCCATTGTGTTGCTGCTGTGAAGGAAGAAGCTCCTAAAAAAGATCTAACATGGTGGGCTATTCAAAGACTTCTACACCTCAAAGTAAATACTCATCCCATTGATGTGACTGTTTGTCTCTTCTTCTGCAATCAAGTTCACAGTCATGTGTCTTTTAATGAGTGTTTTCTTTCTCTCAATGGAGAAGATTGAGTCAACAAATGCGACAGAGGGCTCAGGAGAGGAATTCCCTGTGAATGAGATCCCTGTTGGTGAGACCCCCTTGGTGGTGACAGGAACTCCCTTTGATTTTGCACCCTTGTGAAAGATAATACCCCCAGCCCACCCCACCCCAACCTCCATATATCACAGCCATGTTACGATGGGCTCTGCTTTACAGCCCAGAATAGGGCTTTATTCAAGGGCCAGCCGACCAGATGTCTGCTCATCTAGGGCTTTCTTCTCCTTGTTTTTAATCCTGTCTGAACTTTCTCCGGGGGGGGGATGGGGGGGGGGGATGTTGAAGCAAGCAAAATGCTTTGCCTTTGTCTTTGTCAGAGGACCCAAAGTAGGTCTGTGGATATCCAAAGCAAAAAATAATACACAATGATGATCATATTACTATTTTAGTTGATCCATTAAAAAGACTTTTGTGTAGAGACTCATGTAGACGCTCCCTCAGTTTCCAAAAGACACTTTTTATTTGATATGATACAACAATTTCTACTCAGTCTAACATGACATTAACCAACCTTCACATGGTTTTATGTCTTTGCTTTCGGTTCTTTGTAGTGGTATTCCTGTGTGTTACATGCAAAACTGCCTGATCAGTAATTCCCCTGAAAACTCACTAGTTCACATTAACTGCAGAAGAATTCTGTGAGATGGTTCAACTCACTTAAAGTCTCACCTTTCACTTTAGTTTGAGGAATTTTGTTATTTTTCAGACTGATTATTAAGCAGCTTCAGTGTGAGTCTTGTGCCATGAGACCTATTGATCTTTGATGCAGATGTATGAGCCAAATAAACTGGAAGTGAAAGCCTTGTGGGGCCCTCTACTGGCCACAGAAAAGAACTGACCTGTTGTTTGCAGGATAGCCCCCTTCATCTATACCACTCTCCTCTTTTTGTCACTTAGGCATTACAGCCCAGATAGTAACACAGGTATCCATGATTGCTTTGTAAGAGTAATGACAAGCTGAGCTATGTAGTAAGAGCAGCTGCGGTTGTTTTTGGCACAGTTGTCTGAGGAAGAGGGTGCATGCGGGTTTGTAAGCTTTAATCTGTTTATCCAGCATCATATTATCCTTCACTTTAACCAACTGGAACTGAGACATTTCTCAAAATTCCTGGGTTGTTCTTACAAGTGTAAATGTATGATTGTCTTTATGATGTGCACTGTACAGTATTTAATCAATAAGGGCAAAAGCTAATAGAGATTATAGAAGTGGTGCACAGCTGTTGACTAATAACACAATTAATATTAGATTAAACCAATTCATTTTGAAGACTCATGTCCCCAAAATCACAAGCAATCCACTTCTGTCTGAAAAGAAAGATCTGTGTAAAGTAGCAGGAGATGCTGCATGCAACACTTTGGGTCAGCACCGCAGTCTTTTGATTGCATCTACCTAGCAAATCCTCCGGAGCAGCCAAAAGAGCCAAGTGCTCTGAAGTGACGTCATACCTACAGAGATCCTCCAGGGGGCTCCCTCACACCTTTTTTGTCCAGATCAAAGAAGGGCCGGTCAAACAGAATAAGAGAGCACACAGGGGCTCTCAATACTGTGGCAAGGGATAAAGTTCTTGATTTTCAGATGAAAGTCAAGTGAGTAATGTCCTTGTGACATGTTCACATCAAGTGTTCTGCCTTTCCCATTCTGGTCGACATAAACAGCAAACTCAGATGCCAGCAGAGGAATGATTTGTTTTCACAATGGGGCATCAGAAGAAAAAAAAACATTATTAAGGAAATTTACCAGAGAGTACAAGAAGTGCCACTGGCACTCACTGCACATTGTTATGCACTCGGACACATCCATACATCACTGCATGAACATACATTCAGACATACACACAGCTCCAGTGACCGCCCCTATTAGGAATGGATATTTTTTCTTCAAATAAATTCCCCTTGCCCTTTGAAAGAGAGAAGACTAAGGTATCCAAACTCTCAAAAAGGTAAAAAGCATCAATTGTCATAAAACTGAGTGTGTTTTCACTATGAGCCCAGCAACATCCCACCATGTGCCGTTCATGTACACTGATAGTGGCCAAGGCTAGTCACCTCCCTTTAAATGGTTCTCTAAAAACAGGAATGAAGTCACTTTCTAGTTGCTGCTCATAACCCCTTCATGTGATCCTTCATTATACTCCAGAAATCACTGTTGAACCAGGTAAGGATCCAGCCTGGCATAAACAGACAGCAGACAAGTCTTCTTGTCTCCGCAACTTTAGCATTAGCTGCTGTCCTCCTGGCCCAGATGACAGATGTGTCAGAGTTCATAGGTCATCCTCATCTAGCTGAGCCAGGTTGCTGGGCCGTCGCCCAGCCAAGGGACCCAACAGTGGAGCCTGGCTCCCAGCGTCAGAAGCCTGACCCCTTCGGTAGCCCTCTCCTGCCCTCTGCTGGGGGGAGAAGGAACATTCATTACACAGTTGTAAAGTACGTTTGTATCATGCACCAACTATACTTTTATACTAAACACAACCTTCCCATATGGTCTAGTGGTTAGGATTCCTGGTTTTCACCCAGGTGGCATGAGTTTGATTCCTGGTATGGGAACTACTCTGGGGAGGTGCAGGTAGAGCAGTTGTCTCCCAACTTGAAGGTTCAAATCTCAGTCAAAGTGTCCTTGGGCAAGACACTGAACCCCCCCTCATTGCCTGTGATGGCAGCATTCAGCAGCCCTTGGCTCCAGACATAATTTTGCTGTACGTGTCACAATGACAATAAATAAAGCTTCTTCTTCTATCCATTCCCTCTAGCACAAGTGTCAGAAATTATCTGCCTTTGATAGGCATCTCTCTCTGACTTCCTCGTGTACCTCAGTCTGCTTCCTCTTTGTTTTGTGCCAAGCTTGTCCATACTGAGTAAACAGAGAAAGTGGTGGAGAATAACAGCTGCTGGCCCATCAACACAGCTGAGGATAAGAACCCAGTGGTGACAGGGGAGATATAGCTAATAGATCCCAACAACAGGATGGTGACTGGGCAGATGGCTAATACTTCAAAGTAAGGACAGACCAGCTGGATCTTTTTGAAATTTTTTATATCTTGTGTAAAAAACTAAGATGTTGATATATTTTCCCCTCTATTTATTCAACTAACAGAAACAATTAAGCTAGCAGAAATCAGGTAATCGGTTTCCTTCAAAATAATTGATTTTGTCGCTTTTTCAACCAACAGGAGGTGAAATAACTCTTCTAGTGATTCAACAAATTCCTTCTCTCTGTGTCTGTTTTAATAAATGTTACCATTTACTGAAGTTTTTCATATTTTACTTAACACAAATGGACACATTGAATTTAATGTTAGATGGTGTACAACAGCCTGGTATCATTTCCGCAGAGGTTCACTTTGGCTTGTTTGGCACTATTTTTCTCAGGGCTGCTGTCGAATAATAACCCAGGGCTGCTGTCGAATGATTACATTATAACTGTAACTCTGAGGCGACCATATAGATATCTTTGCCTCTAAACACATGCACTACACACCACCTACCTACACCTGCACTATACACTACCTGTGCACTTTGTGTGGTGGGTATGTACAGGCCATTTGACACAGCTTGACAGTTTGGTTGATCAGTGAAGGCCAGTTGGACATGTGATGGAGATGCAGTGTGGAAGTCAGCAGGGAACGGCTGGACTGCAGTGGGCTGCAGAGGCAAACAACAGGTAAGTCACTCAGTGCTGTAGTGCATGCACACAATACTGTTAGCTGTTTTGACTATATGCCCTTTGAGCAATACTCAGTCCTGCCATAAAAAAGCTTATAGCAGACCTGGCAGTGTCTCAGGTGTCTCATAAAGAGAACTGCTGTGTTTGAGTGGGTAGATACTGCAGGACAGTGTCACTGTGTGTAGGGCAGTGAGAGAGAGCAAAAGAAACCTACATCCCACAGTGAGATTGTCTCAATAGGTCCTTGGCCCTGGCCTTGGCTAGGCAGGTGGAGCGCAGGCAGAGAGGTGTTGTAAGAGTGAAGGGATGGCAGCTTATGGCGATCAATAGAAGCAGAGGAGTGGGGCCGCAGGGTGCTGGCTGCAGACAGAGGGGGCCTCATGCTGCGGCCCAGGCTGTTAGACTTGCTCTCTCGCCGTTGGTACTCAATAGGTGACTGTAAGGCTGACAGACATGGAGAACAAAATTAGGTCTTATAGTGCTCTACTGCTGATTCTCACTGTTTTACAAAGTAAATCATGTGGATTTGACTTTATTTTGTTAGTAACACTTTACTTTAACCTTGTCCTCTAGCTTCACTGTCAAAGTTAAAGATGTCTAAGCATATGGAAGGTCATTTACACCAGGATAAAAATGACTGAGGAAATTGATATTATAGTCAAAGGCTATATAGAATTTTTTTTCTATTAAGTCAAAATGACATTTTGACACTTCAAAGTATTTTCAAAATTATGAGCTTATATATCAGAATTTTGATCTACTAAATCAGAATTATGATAAAGTATTCAAAATCTAAATAGCCAGTCAAAATTGAGAATCAAAGTCTAAATTTTGACTTCATATTTTACTTACTATCTTATGATTTTGACAGAGCTATGAGTGTGTTTATATGTTTGATTGCTTGACTGGGGATGTTGGGTGGGGGGGTCCATACAACACACAACAGTGAAACTAACCTCCTCCCACTCACACCGATTCACCTGCATGTGAATCAACAACATAGTGTAATAAACTGAAAATATGCCAGTCTGATCTTTGGACTCGTAGCCTTCTGAGTTCAGCTGCAACTCACCATTGAGGAAGTTGCGCTGAGATTCCAAGATCTGAACCACATCGTTGATCCAGGCCCTGCAGATCTCAGGGGAGGAGGCTTGCAACTGGAAGCGCACCACACTCCCGTCTGGGTTACGTGATGTGAGCACAAAGCGTGCATCATCGCCGTCCACGCTGGGCTCCACCCCTAGGCAGCTCACCTGGAACAAACCACAGCTGACTGGCATCTGTGAGGAGTCCTGAGTTGTTTGTTAAATACTTCACTGACACATGCAGAAAATTCCTTCCACTGAATTATGTGCTAGTCTAGTCAAGAATTAGTGTGTTGTGAATCTATAGTTTTTTTGTTGTTGTTTATTTTTGGCGTTTTATTTTGCTACATCATCCCGTGTGACCGATCTGAGATCACTGAGGCTGAGCAGATACCACACCTTGATGCTGTTTTTGAAGATGTACCCAGGGAGTGAGAAACCTTTCTTCCTGTCGATTGGCTCACTGAAAATGACCAGCTGCTCAAACAGGAAGACCCTTCTTTCCTTGGCTCGAGACAGGAAGCCACTGTCCTGCTCGGTAACAGTGAAGGTGTCTTGTTGGAGCAGTTTCCCCTGGGCGGTGATCTTCCCCTGGTACCACAGCGAAGACAGACACAACAGAGAAAATGTTACAGTGTGATTTACATGGCTTGAATAGTTGGCATGAGAAATGTTTTGAAGACTTTGAAAGTTGGTCTACATTCCTAAGACGTACCTCGAAGCCTTGTAGTCGGCCTACATTCATCATGTCGTTGCAACGTTTTGGCACAAAGCACATCACTTCTACTGCTTTCTGTTTAAAAGAAAAGTGGGATTTTTATCATGAACACTAATAAAAAGTTTGGCTTTGTTCATAGACACAAAACATCACTTTGAACCCTATATTTGTGCATCAGGACACCCACCCACCTCCAAATCCTCTGTGTCCATCCCAGCTTTGGTGTAATACTTCAGAAAGTCCTGATCAAATAAACACAGCATGGTTAGCAAAGCATTCCAGGTTTACGACCCAGACTAAGGTGAGAACATCTGGAGGAGTGTTTATGTATTCTGAGCACACCTTTCATTTGAATGCCAAAGAGCAAAATTTTAAACCAGGGATGTTGATTTATGGTAATCTTGAAAGCCTTTTATGTATAATTGTTGAAATCCTGGGGTTAAAAAATGTTTCTCACTTTTTAATTTGCCTCTTCCTCCCTGACTGACTTGTCGTGCGTGTTTGTATGTTTACATCCCCGTGACTGACCCTGCTGTGTGTCACACCGCTTCTCAGTAAGCACCATGTGTGTCTGTGTATATGCGTTGGCGTGCCCTGCTCTTCACCTTGAGCAGCAGCTGGTACTTCATGATCCTTTGGACAGGTTTGATAAGCAGGTCATTGAGCTGCAGCCGGTGGCCCAGCTGCTGACGCAGCTCCTGACAATGTACAGTAGACAGGCAGAATAAAACGACACTAGTCAACATGATAGCCACAGCACAGACGACTAGTGCAAGCTCTCAAATACAATATATTATACACTGTCTGCCCATTTCTTGTGTGTTTAAGTAAATTTATCAAAAAAGGGTTAGGGTAAAAACAGTTTCAACATTGAGTTACCTCAAAGTAAGTCTCGATGTACTCTGAGACGATATGTTCTGACTTGGGCTTGTTCTGACAGTATACGACATACATGTGCAGACGCCTCTCCTGTATGAAAGTCAAACAAACATCTCAGTTACAAATAATTTCGTTGAACCTTTGATGCAAATTAGCCAAAAATACTTTAGGACTTTAAGAAGAGCGCCGCTGGCAGAGATATGTATCTTTAATTGCCTTACAAATAAATGAAAATGCCACAGAGCAAAAACAGTAACATTCAGTGTGCAGTGTCTGGTTGTTGTTTGGGATGAAAGGATTATGGAACAATAATGGTTTGTCTCAGAGCGAGGGGCCTTTGAAAACTGATTGTATCTGGCGAGCTCCGACTCTTCTGTGACTAACTGGCATGGGAGTGCAGATGTGGCAATGCTGAGTTCTTTAATGGAGGTACGTGTAACTGAGCATTAGGCAGAGGTGGAAAGTAACTACCTGTAAGTACATTTACCCAAGTACTGCACCAAAGTACAATTCTGTGCTACTTTGACTTCACTTCACACTTTTTACTCCAGTACATTTTTTATAGCTGTAGTTACTAGTTGCTTTTCAGAACCAGATTAGTACAAAAATTACAGTATAATTAACTAACTTTATTGATCACTGGTGGAAAATTCACAAGCTACCCAGCAGTAATTCAAAGTAAAAGCATATAAGCTAGTTATAACTAGCCTCCATTTTACTAGGTGCAACATTAAAGTGAGATACACAATAATGCATCAGTCAATATAATCCAATAATATGATAAACATTCATGTTAAATGTGCCATTTTGCAAAATATAGGCTTTTAGTACTTTAAGTATGTTATATGTGCTAATACCTTTGCACACTAGGTTATGTATAATTTACACATGTTACCCTCAGTGTAACCAGAGCCTTTTAGAGTCTACTGATATAAGGCTGTACCTAGCAACAGACTGCATGGGTCTGTGACCCAGAGATCTGTGAGCTGCTCCACCTGCATAAGAACATCAAGTAAAAGTACTGATGACAACACAAGGGAAATATATGTATTGTCCTGTCTAACAGTATTATGTATAAGAGGGTCGGCACATGTTTTCATGTTTTTATATGTTGCTTGTGTGTGAGTGAGCACACGTTGCATATTGGTGACACAGACTGGGCTTTCAGCTTTTCATTAGGGGGATGTTTCCAGTCTGCTTGTTTTCATATGGTGACAATATGCTTAGATTTAATTACACATTATTTTATTCCTTCATAGGCTTGTTAAGTTGATTATCCAGTGCAAAGAAACAAATCCAAGATGGTCAAATTACCCATCATGCCTGTCTAGTCTGCAGGGACCACCATATAATTTAATTTTGGTCAGTGTATAAGCCCTGTGACCCCATACCATCTCAGGCTCTAAAAATAATGGGCCACATTCGCCAACTGTTCTTAAGAACAAATTTGTTCATAAAACCCACTTATGAAGTTTTCACAAAGATTCTGGCATCCACCGACATTTTTTATCTGGGATTTGTCCTTAGGTAAGAACAGAATCTAACACACTTATGCACATTTGTGTGTTGACCTCTTTGTGCAAAATAACTGGTTATTTGTTTTTTTTAAATCAGTTCTAAAATGTATTTATCTTTTAGAGTGTGACTATTTGCAGCTTAGAATTAAGAAACACATTACTTAAAAACCAAACATATCAAAGTGCACATCTTCCTCTCTAATTTACGTTAATTTCTTTAAGTGTATCTCGAATATTTTGGCCAGTGTGCAAGTGTTTGGTTGTACAGCATCGCATCTGAGATCAGACTCAGGATCGTTGAGGGGACCTGGGTGAATGCATGGAGGTCTGCTCAGCTAACGGCGCACATGAAAGTGTTGTGTATGGCCCCGAAACGCTGGTCCAGCTCAGACACTGTGGGCCGGTCTGTCCTCCTCCACTGGTCAGCGTCTCTCTTCAGTGTTTATTTTGTTGTTTCAGAGTCACCTTTTTAATTCATCGGTTGTGTGCCCTTCTCCTTTTAAAGTGCTCACTGAACGAGTTAAGAGCATCTCAAGCATCTTTTTGTTTAATTTTTTTTTTTATTCTACTACTGAGGCTATGAAATATGTCAACTTGTTTGTTCTTCTCCATTTCATAACTACTCAAGTTTTTCTTCGGTTTGCAGTTCCTTGCTCCAACATCTTTACATTTACGATGTAGCATTCCAGGTTTTCTCAACTTGTCTTTTGTGTTTCTGCATGAGATGTGTGCACATGGCCCTAAAGTCTCACACCCTTTTATGGGTTTTGGCAGGGCGTTAGCCTTTGTTAATTAGGAACAACTGGCACAAACTTTCAACTTACGAACATATGGGATTCATTAATATAAGAACACAGATGCCAACAATTCTTCGATTTAAGAACGCGTTCATAAATCAGACCTAGACTTTTGAGAGGACCTTTCTTAAGAACAACCCATGAAGAAATTTAAGAAAATACTGGGGAAGATGTTGGCGAATGAGACCATACACTTCACAGATATTTTCTTGCATATGTCACTTTACTTCATTCTTTAGCCAAGATAAGTATGAAGAAGTAAGTCACCATTTTGGGTGGACAAAAACCTTTCAATCAAAGGGTCTGTGTAAAGGAGTTGTTATTTCTCATCTCATTCATGTTGTCTTTTCTTTTTGTTTTTTCCATAGTGTTTCCTGACCAGTCCAACCCAAACTGGAAATCGTCCAGTGTGTCATTTGTGTGCATGTGTGTGTTTGCCATGCACACTGTTGTAAAAACACAGCCTGGCCTGAGACGTGCTGTATCAGTAACAGGGAAGTGGAAGCAGAGACGTTGCCAATCAGAGGGAAAGAAAGTGAGACATATGGTATAAGAAAAACAGGAGCTCTATGTGTTTTCTTAGCTCTGTTTACCTTCGGTCCAAACAGCACAAGGAAGCAGACGCAGACATTTCCAGCAAAGTGTATGTGTGTGTGTGTGTGTATGCAGTAGTCACACTCACATGTTTAATGAAGAGCTGAGCCAGCTTCTCTGGCTCTGCCAAACTCTTCTCAAGCTCCCCCAGAAAGTAGCTGCAGAGAAAACATACATACACATGCACATTAACACATGTACAATATACATCCATGCCCAAAACAGAAGGTCACGTTTGTCTCCTGACCTATTTGTCCTCCCCTCGGCCACAAACATGTGGAAATAAAAGATTTAAGGAAAAAATCAGATACTTACTCTTTATGCCAGTCAAATATTTGGTGAATGTTCCCAAACACAATCTTGTCCTTTCCCTTCATGTCCTCTGGGATACCTTTGGAGCTCATTGTGGCCATGTAGCCCTGCAAGGGAAGGACAAAAGCTGCTGACCTCTGTTCACACCTAACATCCCACCACAACCAACTGATTCTGACCAGCACCAATAAATATAGCTAGGTTGTTAAAACATACCACAGCAATCACACAACACCAAATATAAAGTTCATATTAACATTCTGATGGCAAGAATTCTCTGAACTAAAATATCACCATATTTTAATACTTTTCAAACTAATAATTCACAATGTTCACAAAATCTACTAAAGACTGGAAACAATGGGCTGGAGGCAGACCAGAGTGTGACAGGAAGTGGAGGAATTGTGATGATAAGGATTTAGAGCTCTCTCTGACAGACTGGGTGGATGACTACATTAAGTTCCCTCTTCTCTGTCAGCACAGTGTGTGTTCTTAGCTGGCAGACAGTGAGGTTACCTCCACTATGAACCCCAGGTCTTCCACATAGTGCTTCTCTGTCTCAACAAGCTCCTTCAGTACATACCTGTAAAGATAGAAATGAGGAAGGATTACAGTTATGCTATCAAATCTATTTAGTAAAAACTCAGTAAAATTTTATTTTATGAGTCCCAGCTTCTTAACATTTTTCCAGAAAGGGGCAAGCTTTTATTTCATAATTCCTGTAAAGGAGTATGTGATCTGGCACTAGTCACAGAGAAATGGAGACAGCATTTAGCATAGAGAGCCTTTCAATATACAGTATATTAGGTAAGGGTTCATTCTTTACCTTAGAAATATTAGTTTGACAAACTAATCTTAATGTATATCACTATACGACCTCCGATGTATTGGACATTCGGGTGAAGAGAGGGGCGGAGCTGTCAACCGATCACCACCTGGTGGTGAGCTGGATCCAATGGCGGGGGAGGAAGCTGGACAGACTCGGCAGACCCAAACGTATTGTGAGGGTCTGTTGGGAACGTTTAGCAAAACCCCCCGTCAAAGCGAGTGGACCATATTCTCCCCCTCCATTGTCGATGCGGCCGTTTGGAGCTGCGGCTGTAAGGTCTCCGGTGCCTGTCATGGTGGCAATCCCTGAACCCGGTGGTGGACACCGGTAGTAAGGGATGCCTTCAAGCTGAAGAAGGGGTCCTTTCGAGCCTGGTTGGCTCGTGGGACTCCTGAGACAGCCGACGGATACCAGCAGGCCAAGCGGGCTGGAGCCTAGGCGGTTGCGGGGGCAAAAACCCGGGTCTGGGAGGAGTTTGGTGAGGTCATGGAGAAGGACTATCGGTGCGCCTCGAAGAGATTCTGGCAAACCGTCCGGCGCCTCAGGAGGGGGAAGCAGTGCCCTGCCAAAACTGTTTAC